GAGATTCTGTCTCAAAATAAAATCACAAAAAGGGCTGGGGATATAGGTCAGTGGTACGGAATCCCTGGACTCAGTCCCCTGAACCAGGTGGGGGTAAAAAATCAATCTGGCAAGTAGCAAGGTACTATGAGGAGATGGCCACAGAGAAGAAGGTACCCAGAGGTGGCAGGGTTGACACCAAGCATACCAAATCTCAGCCCAGATCTTAGGCTATTTGTGGCCACACCTGATGCCCACATGGCTCCAAACAAATGTGGGCTGCAGTTCTGAGGCTCACATCAAACATTCTGGCAATTAGGATGAGGCTTATGTCAAGTTGCTCCCTTCGAGACACCTCTTTTGAACAAAAACAGGGAGGTCTGCTTTCCCCTCTAGAAATCGGCCAAACGTTCTTCCCACCTCCCCCAGAAGTTCAGAAACACACAGGGAGAAGTCCTTGTCTTAAACTGATGAATCATTCTTCCTAAACACTCCATGACACTGCCCCCGTGGGGAGGACCCTTCCCCTAGCATTCAGCTTCTGGGGTCCTGGTCACCCAGAGTTCAGTGTTCACATCTGACCACGGCAGGGCCTCCTCCCCTCCCACACACTCCACTGGCAACACCACAGCCAGCCCACTGGGCACAACCACAAGCCTGCTCCCCGTCCCCAGGTACCCAGACACAGCTCTGCCACAAGGAGGGGACATACTGACATCCCATAGTCCATCTCACTCCTAAGGAAGATGGACACAAAGAAAGAGCCCCCAGCAAGGAGGGCAAACAGAGCCCAGAGCGAAAGACAGAATACAGGGTCAGAGGGGCCATGCCAGGCGAGCCTCCAGCAATGCACTTCCAGGCATTTCCAGAATCTGACCATCTCCCCACACCCTACAGGAGCCCTGTCTTCTCCCACCTGGATGGTAGCCCTTGCCTCTGACTGGCTCACTGCCCCCAACTGCTGGCTACCAGGTTGGACCCTGTCAAAACTCCTGCCCCTTCTTTGTTCAGAACCCCCAGTGTGGCTTCCAATCTCAGAGAAGCCGACTTCCCGGCTACACCTACGGGTATCCCTGATGGCCTCCTCCTCTCCCAACCCTATTCTCTACGCTCAGAGCACTCACTCACCCCCTCTGTGACAAGACTCACCAGCCTGAGATGGGACTCCATCTGCAAGTGTGATTTCCCTACAAGAAACCCTGTAAGAGAGGAGAGACCTGTCTGGCTGACCCCAGAGCTCTCCTGGCCAACTTCAAGCCCCTCGTAGAATTCACACCAACAAATATTTACTGAAAAATAAATGAAATTTTTTGTCACCAAAGTCACCTGCGCAGCCTTCAAGCTCTTTCAAGCCAATTTAACAGACGATGTTTCCCAAAACCCTTCAAATGCAATAGGACAAGCAGCTGAAAGAGGAGCAGAGAGCTATGGTTGAAGGACGTTGGGTGCTTTAACAGAATCATTCTTCCCAGAGATTCAAATGCTCCAATCAAATTAGCAACCAGGTGAGAAGCCAGGTCGTCGAGATATGGCTGAGGCAGGGGTGGAGGGCATGGGGTCTGGTCTCATCTTCCAGATGGAAGGCACAGGCACAAAGAGAGACAACAGCCCATGACCCAAGGAGTCTGTCGGAAAGTAAGACCTCTGAAAGGAGAGGATAGGTTCCCTACACCGGGGCAAGGCACCACATCCCCACCAAACAGAGTGCACAAGACAGTCAGGTGGCAACTGGCCTCCAGCTACCTCCTACCAGGTCCTGCCCCCAAATCCATCCCTGTTTAGTAAAAGCCTGAATTCCCAGGCCGTACTGCATGGAGGTCAGCAAAGACCAGCTGGCTGATGAGGTACCCAGTGCCACGAGCACCAGCCAAGGTCAAGGTGAGAGTGGAGGAAGAATCTTGCAACGATTTGGGAAAGAGGTAACTCAGGTATGACACTCACATCCCAGGGGCTGAAAAGAGGGTCTCCTTCCCCATCTGCTCCCACCCCCACACTGCCTCTTCCAGGGTATGCAGGGTACCCCGGGGATGGCACCCATGCCCAGCCCAGCAGGGCTGTGCCCCCTTCTCTGCCCTCAAGGTGTGCTATGGGGCTTGGTGTCCCTGCAGCCATGAATTAGAAGCAAGATGGGGCCCTAGAAAGAAGCTGCCCCCAGTCGAATCCTCAGCCCCAGATGCTGCCACTGTGAGGTGGGAGACCCTCTCTCCAACTCTCCCCAAAGCAAGGTTCACTGAAGGAACATAATGTGACCTAAGGTAGGACAAACAGAGGCTTTTGACTTCAACAGTTACTGTATTTATTTTTACAGTCACTGTGTATGGCTAGTTACACTAATGTTCTATTTCAGGCAATGATACGAAGTTTCCTTTTAAAAGAAGTATTCACCAGAGCAAGGAGACCCAGGGAACTAAATGTGATGTGAGATCCTGGAACAGGAAAAGGACATCCAGGAGGGAAACCTGGTTAAGCTGATCTGAATAAAGCCTGCCGTTCAGTCAACAGCGGTGTGCCACGGCTCTCTCCTTGGTTTCGACACTGGCGCCGTGGTTACCATGTGAGATGTTAACTTTAGGGGAAGTGGAACGGAGGGGACAAGTAAGGAAACTGCCGCTTTTTAAGCCCTTCTGCAAGTCTAAAGTTCCCGCAGAACACAAAGTGTAAAAACATGCAAACTTTTAAAAAGTGAGTTGAAATGTGAACTGTGAAGTGAACAATAGGCAGGTGGTCTGCAGGGCCAGGAAGAGGTCTGGCTGTCCAAGAACACCTGGAGGTTGAGAAGCCCGCAGGGCTGCCCCACGCCTTCACTTTACATACAAGCAGTGATGCCAAGGGAGGCCCAGGGATCTGCCAGGGCTGTGGGAGCCACAGCGCACTGCCTGGCCCACCAGGCCCAACTCCAACCTTCCCCCCACCGCAGCTCCAGCCCCAAGCCAACCAGGGATCCAGACCCACAACGGGGCTTTCCCTGCTCAGGGTTCACTTGGGCAAGGGACCCTTGATTAGAGGAATGAGAAAATATGTCCCATGGCTGACCCCCTTTCAGAACTCAGGGCCACCCCAAATAGGTGGCAGCTGATCAACTGCCTTTACTGAATCAAATTGCAAACCTCAGATAAGGAACAGGAGATAAGGTCCCCCCCAAAATCTTCCTTCAAGCGTCTATCTCCTCTGCCTCTGCCTCTGTCTGGACCAAAGCAGCAAAAACACCAACCCCTCAGGCCAGCTCCCAGTCCCTCTCCCCGGCTTGCCCTTTACTCCTGGGTTTTCCCCTGGCCTGGAAGTCCAGCTCAGAACTAGCCTTGCCTTCCCAGAGGGTCGCCCTGGGCACATGACAAAGATCAAGCCCTCTTGCCTGCCCCAGTCTGGGCACTGAGTATAGACAGCAACAGGGAGCTGACAGGTACCCAGCTGGTCCTGGGTGGGGACAGGGGAGAAGGAAGGGACCCCACCACTTTCAGGGACATTCAGAGCCAGCTTCCCAGCATATTGAGATCTGAGTACTACAGGCTCTCAGCCACTGTGGTGTGTCCACAAATCCCTCTGAGATGGATGGCAATTGGTGGGTGTTTGTGGTGGCCCTGTTTGGGCAGAGCCACACCTGGTCTCCCCTGTTCTGATAGCCTGGGGCATCTCAGGAGGGCCACCCAGGAGGCTCAAAAGATTTCAGTGAGCCAAAGAGCCCCACACCCTCCTGAGGGATATCCCTATGACAGGCATGGAGATAGGATGCAGGCCCAGGGCTGACAAATGTAACCAGGCCAGGTCACATCCTGACCACCCAGCTCCCCACATGTTCAGGAGCCAGGCTGGACCAGAGGCCTCAGCTCACTTTTAAAAGCCACTGACCAATCACAGTTGAGAATAAGCAGGAGGGTCTCCTCTCTGGACAGAGGATCAGGGACCACCTACCGCCATACCCCCTGCCCTCCCTCCAGCCTGCTCCTGGGCATTGAAGACTGGAACCCCAGAGGGCACACAGCCCTATCCAGCCCCAGGCCAGCCCCCACCCCCACCAGGCCCAAACACATCCCACAGGCAAAGTCAGACTCAAGAGAACCTGTTGGAGCAGTTTAGGCAGGAGGGCCACCTCTTCCTCCTCCTCTTTTTACTTCTGGGTGGGAAGGGACCTCATCTCTTGAAAACTAGGCACACGGCCAGGTCGTGGAAATGGGCAAGGGCCAAGAGAGCGAGTTTCAGTATCTGGGCTCACCTCCTTCCCGGCTCCCCGTTTTCCTTAGAGAGCATAAGGTCATGTCAAAACTGGGGTGTCCCTGCCTGGGACAGAGAGGAGGGAAATGGGGAACCGCGAAGGCCAGAGAGGAGGCGGCAAAGCCACAACCCCCACCCCCCACACACAGAGACACCGTTCTGCCACCGCACTCCCGCCCAGGCCCGCAGGCCGGCCGGGACTAGGAGCTGCGCGGAGACCGGGGAGGGGTCCTGCCCGCCAGGACAAGGTCCGAGGGAGCTCCCTTGCCCCGGCGGAGGGTGGGGGCCCTGGCCGCCACCTCGCCCGAGTCCCCTCGGCCGCCCCAGCCCTGCCAGCTCCGGAGCCCGCCACTCGCTCCTCTCCGGGGACCCGCGCCCGGCTGCGCGCCTGCCTCTCCCGGCCCGGCCGCCCCGAGCCCGCGCGGGGAAAGTTCCTGCAACTTCGCAGGGGGAGGCGGCGGGGGCGCCGGGCCTGGGCCTCCCTCCGGTGCCCGGCCTCCACGGCCGCCGCGGCCCCGCTGTCAGCCGGCCCGGCCCGGGCCCGGAGCCCCAACTTCCCGGCGCCGCGAGCCCACCTCCCGGCCCGCGGGCCTCGCTTTGTGCGCGGCGGCCGGGGGCGCCCGGCGCGGGCCCAGCGCCCAGCGCCCCCGCCCTGGGCACAAAAGGGCGCGCGGCCCGGCCCGGCCAGACCCGGGCGCCCGGAATGCGGCGGCGGCCGGTCCCCGAGCCGGGCCTGAGGCGCGCAGCCGGAGGCGCGGGGCTTGGCCGGGCGGGAGCCGGGCCCGGCCAGGCGGGGGCCACGGCGCGCTCACCTGCCGTGGAACCAGTCCTTGCAGGCGTCGCACTCGATCATGAAGCGGGTAACGTCGTAGGGGAGCCGGCAGACGCAGTACACGGGCACCGTCGCCATGTTGCCGCGCCGCGCCGCCGCTCGCCCCGCCGCTGCGCTGCCCGGGTCGGGCCGGGCCGGGCCGGGGGCCGGGCCGCGCGGGGGCGGCGGAGGCGGCGGGGCGCAGGCGGCGCCGCGGCCGGGAGGGGACGGGGACGGGGGCGCACGACAGCCCCCGCGCGCGCTCCCGGCCGGGCGCGTCCACACAATGCCGGCGCGCTGGCTGGAGGGGCCGCGCCGGGAGCCGCCCGCCGGCCCGCGGGGCGCAGGGCGCGAGTGTGCGCGGGGCCGGGCCGCGCGCGGGACACAAAAGGGAATGGACGCGCGGGGGCGGCGGGCGGGGAGCCGCGGCCCCACCGAAGGGACCCCCGGCCGCCAAGCGGCCTCTACGTCAGCGCCCCGGGTGGCGCCGCCTCCGCCCGCCGGCCTGGGCCCCGCTCCCGCCGCCGGGAAGGCGGGCCGGGGGAGAAGGTGGGCCGGAGGGTCCCGGGGGAGAAGGGGCGCTGCGGGGACCCCTTGGGAGAAAGTGGGCCGGGGAAATTCCGAGGGAAGAAGATGGGCTGGGGGGACCCTGGAGGGAGACGGTGGACCCGGGGCGCCGAGGAAAGGCAGGCTGGGGAGCCCTCCCTGTCCCTGGGTACAGGAGGAGAGCCCGCAGGATGTCCTTCCTCTCCAGAAAGCCAAGAAGCAACTCCTTCGCCCTAACTTTTTTCTGACCCCAGAGTGAGGCGGAGAGGGGACTGTTCCTCTCTTTTCTTGGGCCTTGCCGCCTCTCTCCCTTCCCGAGTTCCGAGAGAGTTTCTGGCTCGGCCACAGCTTCCCCTTCCCCTCCTCCCTGGCTGGGGGCTGCTCCACTCCCTCCCTCGAGCCCATGGACTGCCCTCATGCTCAGCCCCCCGGACGAGGAGGACAAAAATCAGGGGACGTGCGAGCGCGCTGGCATGGGTCAGCTCTGTAAGGAGACAGCTTACCTGACGTTTGTGCTGCCAGAAACCTCAGTTCGAGCCCCCAGACGTAGGGTCTGGGAGGACAGCCTAGCCACCGCATCTGTGCAGCAGAAATGGGGAGGCAGAGCCCAAGGGCTAGGTTGTGGCTGTCGCCCCTGCAGCCTGTGCCCCGAACTGGATCTCTGGCCTCACCTGCTGTGTTCAGGGGCATTGGTGTGGGGGGGAGAGAAAAGGAGTCCTCTGGGGGACGGAGTCCCTTGACCCCTCCCTAGCTGTGGCATCCTTTGGGCACCCCTGCTGGGTAAGAAATCTGCCTGCCTCCCTCACCGTCTTCTTTCCCTTTCCCCCTGTGGCACAATTTACATAAAATGGGGAAATGCTGATGGCTGCAAGTGAATCCCAAGTCCTCAGGCCTCCGCTCCCTCACAGCACCTGGAGGAGGCACAGCCCAGCATCATTGCCCAGCCGGCACCTGCCAAGGGGCTTTGCATCCCAGGGAGCTCCGTGAAGGTCCTCCCTCCCACTGAGTCACAGTCTGCCCTCAGAGTCCACCACCCTCCCCAAACAGGTGGCCCCTTAACCAGTGAAAGGGCCTTAGCTCCAGGACTAGCATGAGGAAAGTGAAGGGTGGGAAAAAGAACCTGGGAATAAGGGTAGGGGCACCCCCACACACGCACACCCGAAACCTCTGAGCTGCCCGGGATGAACATAACCCTCCCTGCCTCAATTCCAATGTCACCTTTGGTTTCCTTCCTCAAGGGTGGTTTTTTTTTTACTTACTTCGGCTCTGGTAAAGGAATAACTATTAAGCCATTGTCCAGCATTAGCACCTTGGTGTGAATTCCTGCAGAAAAGGGGAGTCTGAAAGGAGGCCCAGAGGGAGCCCTGCTGGGGAGGGTGCTGCCCAATTACCTAATGGACACACTTCCTTTCCTGTGACAGCAGTGCCAAAGCAGTAGTAGAGCACAGTGGCCAAAACCCTGAGTTGTCTAGTCACCAAAGCTAGAAACTTCTGGAGGCCCCTGTGTGCAAGGAACAGCAACTGTGAGCAGTCCTCCCTTTTGAACTCTTCCATTTTCTTGTTCACAGATGATGATTGTAGTCATCAACACTTACCAAATGCCTCCTAGACACTACGCTCCGGTTCTTCACCAGGGTTACTAGTCCTAAGCCATACTGCCTGGGTCATGGTGTCGGTGCCATTTTACAGAAGTGAAAACTGAGGCCCAAAGCAATTAAATGCCTAGCCCAAAGAGGAGCTGCCTGGTAAGAGGTAGGAGGAAGTAAGCAAGCAAGGCGCCCACACTTCCCCAATCTGACCCTGTGGCCCCTGAGCCACTCAAGCTTCAGCCTGCCTCCTTCCAGAATGTGCCTGGAAAAGCCCTCCCTCTGCAAGTTTCTCAGGCACTGATCACTGAGATGCTGCCTCTGTCCATCCTCCCTGCCCACAGGATGGTCCCCTCTCTGCAGCTGACCATGACCAAAACACCTGCTCTATGCATGTCCACCTGACACTTTCCTGGTACTCAAAAATTTTCCAGGCCGGCTGCCATCTGCAGCACCAAACAGGCCTTCTCTGATACCTTCCCTGTTTTCTCCTTTCTCTCCATCTTCTGCAAATGCGCCTTTCCTCCCTTCTCCCAACACCCCCCTATTTAGATATTTATTGAGCACCTACTGTAGACATTGAAGGCTTAGCAGAGTCTCAGCTTTGTTAGAATCCTCCCTGGAGTGAAGGGAGCCAGTGGGTGTGTTTTTACATTTGTAAATGCAGGGAACAAATGGGGAAAAGGAAGGAGTTGAGGGGTGCGCAGAGATGCCTCTGAGAAGGTGATCTGGGGGAAGGGGTAAAGGGAGGAAAGTGAGCTTCCCATACTGAAGGGGGTGGGAGGAGGACCCCCAAGCAGGGGGCATCAGTAGTCCCCCAAATTCAGGGGGCATCCTGACCCCCAAAAGAATGGGTTAACGTTCATGTCTGTGGTAAGGGGAGGAAAACGCCTCTGATTCCATCAGTGGCACAGGGCTGCAATTGGCTGCCATTGGCATGCCAGGGAAGGCCCCAAAACTTGGTAGCCCCATCTGCTTGTGCTATCTGGACCCCAATGCCTGCCCACCAAGCCCTCCCCGTGCCCTTGGGCTCAGGGGCAGTTCAGCATCCACGAATCTGTACTCGTGTCCCAAAGTCACCACCCAGTGCCCCATTCGTCCGGCCTGTTGCAGGGATAGGGAGCATGGGCTCACTAGCTGTGTGGCCCCCACGCTGTCCCTGCACCCTGGCATTCCAGCGGCAGCACAGTTGCCACCTACACGCCAGGCTGCACACCAGCACAGCTGTTTGAGGCAGACCCATTTTTTTCCCCTTTCAAGTCAGAGGTAAGCGTCACCCATTCCAGTGCCTGTTTTTCTCAGGCATGCACCCTCTTGCCCCTTTGCATGACTGAGTGCTAGTGCAGGTTTCTTTTAAATTGTGGTTAAAGATGCACAATTTAAAATTGACCTTTCTGGGGGGTGGGTACCAGGGATTGAGCTCAGGGACACTTGACCACTGAGCCACATCCCCAGCCCTATTTTGTATTTTATTTAGAGACAGGGTCACACTGACTGACTTAGCGCCTCACCATGGCTGAGGCTGGCTTTGAATTCGCTATCCTCCTGCCTCAGCTTCCCAAGCCACTGGGATTACAGGCGCGCGCCATCACACCCAGCTAAAATTTACTGTTTTAACTTTTTTTTTTTTTCAATGATGGGGATTGAACCCAGGGTTCCATGCATGTTAGGTGCATGCTGTACCACTGAGCTACAACCTGGCCCATATGAACCATTTTAAATGTGCAGTTTTGTATTAAACACATTCACACTGTGGCAGCCACCAACAACCATCTCCAGAACCTTTTTCATCTCCCCTCAGACTTTGTCTTTCTTACAATAACTCCCTACTGTCCACTCCCCCTGTCCCTGGCAACCATCATTCTATATTCTCACTCTCTCTATGAATTTTACTACTCTAGGGGCCTCATACAAGGGGAATCACACGGTATTGTTTTTTCATGACTGGCTTCTGTCACTTAGTAAAATATCCTCAAGTTGCATCCATGCTGTAGCACATATCAGAATTTCCCTCCTTAAGACTCAATAACATTCCATTACATGTGTGTTTGTGTGAATGTGTGTACTGTGTGTGTACATTGTGCAGGTGTATATTTTCATTGCATAAATATGTATATATATATATATATATATATATATATATATATACACATGTATACATATGTACACTATACACACACACATACCACATTTTAAACATCCATTTGTCTATTGGTAGACACTTGGGGTTGCTTCCACCCTTTGCTATTGTGAATAACACTACAATGAACATTGATATGTCAATGTCTATTCACTTCTTTGGGGTATATTTTTAGAACTGGAATTGCTGGATTATGTGGTGATTTTTTTGAGGAACTAACCAAACCATTTTCCACAGTGGCTGCAGTGCATTCCCACCAACAATTCATGAGTTCTAATTTCTCCACATCCATGCCAACACTCATAGATTTGGTTTTCTCTTAGTTGTTTTTGTTTGGTAATAGCCACCCTAATTGGTCTGAGTTGGTATCTTATTGTAGTTTAAATTTACATTTCCATAATGATTAATGATGTTGACAACTTTTCCTATGCTTTTTGGCCATCTACAGATCTTCTTTGGAGAAACATCGATTTAAATCCTTAGCCCATACTTGAATTGGGTTGTTTTCTGGGTGTTAAGTTGTAGGGATCCTTTATTTATTGTGGATATTAATCTCTTAGATATATGATTTGCAAATGTTTTCTCCTGTTTTGTTAGCTGCTTTTTACTCTGTTAATAATGTCCTTTTATGCACAAAAGTTTTTAATTTTAATAAAGTCCAAACTTTCTATATTTTTGTTTGTTACTTGAATGTTTGGTTTCATATCCAAGAAATTGTCACCAACTCCAATATCAGGAAGATTTTACCTTATATTTTCTTCTAAGATTTTTCTGGTTTTGGCTCTTGTGTTTAGATCTTTGATACACTTTGAGTTAATTTTTTATATGGCATAAGGTAATGCTCCAAATTAATTGTTTTGAATACAGATATCTGCAACCATTTG